TCATATAGCCGCAGAACTACACTGTACTTACACAGCAGATTCAAAGGGAGAAAGTTCTCGATAATCAACTGAACGCTTCTGACAAAGACTAAAGAGACAATTTTCCCTCTATGACAGATATTACTCTCTCTCTCTCTCTCATTATGGTTATCTCCTATATGTTACATTACAGTGCCTCTTCTGCGAGGACACAACCGAGAAGCGATGGAGACCTCACACATTTAGCTGTTTAGTAACAGAAACTTTGATGGCCCTCTTTACCAGCTGCAACATCACACCGGAAGAGGCAGAAAGGAAGATGCAGGAATGGGGTGCAAGACCAGTCAGGGTAGGTACTCACCTTGAGATTCTGGTTTCAGTTCAACCATACAGAATGTTTCAGATAATGAACATCACGAGAAACGTGAACCAGCTTTACTTTAGTGAAAAAAATGTGACAGTAAGAAAGCTGTAGATACGTTTAAATGGTGTTCAACAGTCTTGATTTCACACTTAAAAAAAGGTACGCCCGCTAAATTACTTTCAAAACACCTGTTTCACCCTTTTCTTTCCGAATGACTCGAGTCTAATGAATTTTCGCGGAGTCGGTACAAAGATACGTCAATTTTTTCTTGAAACGGGAGAACAGGACCCGCATAAAAGTCTCTAGCAAGGTTTGAAATACCTACCCTCTTCATGTACTACCGGTACTTTCTGAAGCAAGGAGCTTTATTTGATACTAGGAGCAAAGATATTGAACAACTGATAGTCAGGATTGATTCTGTTTTTAATGCACATTTTACCAAGTTCTCCACACTAGTGATGAAACAGAAAGACAATCAGGTTAGAAATTATGTTTTCATTCTTAAACTGAAGGAGCAAAATAAACGCACGACAAATGGCAGATAAATCTTTCCTCTCTCAGAATCTGTTTTAATTTCGAAAATAGGCCGACGGTAACTTTACCCATTTCAGTTTATAAACTTTTAGACGCAGTTGCGTTCAAAAATGGCGCGCTTGGAGCGAGCGAGCCATTGTCTTCAACCCAGCAATGAATAACTGTAGCTTTGAAAGAGATCATTATTTAAACCACTTGCCTTATCTTTTTATTCTTGAAGGCAAGGCAGTGTATTTCTCACATATGGAACATCATTGTGAAATCGTCTTTATCATTAAATGGAGTTGCGCAAGAAGTCGTGGAATGTGAACAGAAAGTGTTTGCAAAGAAGCTGTAAGTTACTTATCGGCTGTTTATCTGTATGAAGGCGAAAAGAACTGAAGTCTTCATTTGATTGCCTAATTTGGTTACGCATAATCCTCGCCCTTACTTCCGCTCGCTTAAAAATACATTTAAAAAGTGCCTACTTTTAACGATTTGGAAGGCGCACCATATCTCCCTTAAGGTTTGACTCAAATAATCTCGAGCATTCGTCTTAAGCTAAGTTTTGATTGTCCTTTAATTTCTGTCACGCAAAGAAACGCTCCGACCATGATAATTTTCCTGACTCTCGTCAATTGTTGGCGTAAATTGTAGTAATGTTGTTATGGGAACTCGTTTATTGATGAATCTTTTCATTACAGGTTTGCTGTGGATTATGCTTACGCCTGTTTTCTGGCCAGGCCATTGGTGAAGGCAAAAATGGAGAAGCCATCTCTACCGATCACTAAATCAGTTCGAAAAGGAATAAAAGCAGCTACTGAAAGGTCACTGGCTGAAAAGAAAAGAAAAACGTTCAAGTCCCCAATGTTAAGTGACAATATTCAAGCGCAAAGAAAAGCCATGGCTTTTGGGAGAACATACGAAGAATCTCACAATGGCGATGCAAAAAGGAAGGCAGCGACTTGTAAGAAAAAGAGAAAAACGCGAAGGTCGAGGCAGATTTCGTTGCTGGATGAAGCAGGGAAACAAGATTTGGAAGAACGTTGTAAAAAAGTTATTGACGAGTTGACATAGGGTAACATGCGCGAATCGCGCCCTGTTACAGTATTAATACGTTATGTTACGTGAAAATAGTGATACCAGCCAAGATCCTAGCATGAAGCTGACTAAGGACGAGTCAGTTTGGTCGCGAGCTTAGAGAACTACTTCAGTCGAAACGGGAATTTTTACGCTATTTTTAAGTTTATTTTTCCAGGAAAGTTCGGCAAGAAAAACAAGAGGCCTCGAGTTTGCGCACTCGATTCAGTTTTACCTCGTAGCTCTTGTCTGCACATGCCGTAAGTGTCTGGAAAATTTTTCTAGTCGCCATCGCCTTTGGCACTCAGCTCTTACTCGCCTCGGGTGGTAATGCAATATAAACTATCATATTTTTCCTCAGACCACATGTAATAACATTTACTGGAGGTTAATTGTTTCTCTTCAATAAAAGAACTTATACAAACAGCTGTCTATATTGATGAAATACATAGTTCACGCAAATATGGAGGCGGATTTTTGTCTTCCTTAGCAGTGTTGCCTAAAATTTCAGATAATATGGTTTCCTCTTTCTGTGTCAAGTTCCGTTGGAGAATCTCTTCCTCCAAACGTTGAAGTAATTCTGGGTTTAAATACTCGGCTTTTGAACAAGCCCACATCAGTTGACACAGCTGGGTACCCTTGAAAATTCTCAAGTCTCTAGAAAGAAGCTCTTTTCCTAATTCCTTTACGAAAACTCGTGAAGGACTTTCCGCCAACACGAAAGAATACAGACACAGCGAAAGGCCACTATTTTTGAGATTTTTCACCCCTCGATTGTAGATCGCGTGAGCGGCATATTTAAACACCATACTTTGCGTGAAACCTCTTATGGCAAAAGACCAAGTGATCCAACATAGGCAAGATAATGGGAAATATTTGATTCGTTTTCGACAGATTTCTTCCTCGAAAGCTGCAAAGAGTTGTTCTCTTCCACTACCCGCAATTGCAAACGCGCGTGGAATGCTCACGAGTTCTATCATCCGAAAATTACCGCACCCCTCTAGCAGAATTTCTTCTTCTGCTTGGCTGAATAACTGATCAGAGAAGATGCCCTTGATGGCAAAACAGTGCAAGATCTGATCAAGGTGTTCAACGAGCAACGAACTAAAATCTCTCTCCACAATGTTAGCCTGTAATTTTTCAAATAATTCTAAACTTCCGCAACCAACCTCGGTAAAACAAGACAAGATGGCGCAAATATGGCGATTTTCACAAAGATGCAACTTGATTTTCTCAGCCAATATGGCTTCCTCAACGCGTTTAAAAACTAGCGAGTGTTTGAGTTCCAAGCCAACACATCCCGGCAGAATCTGACAACAGACCTCAGCTCGGTGAAAGGCAGTTATATCGCGCGATAGAATTTCTTCCTCACAAACCTTACCCAGGTGGTGGTCTTTTTCTTCAATTACTCCTAAGGACCACATGACATTCGATAGACCTTGCCCTTTACAGGAAATAATCTGATCAGAAATAAAATCTAAGACCTCATGGTATGCACTTTTTGTACCATTCATTGCCTTGTCTCTTTCTTTCTGCAAAATCGCTCTTTCTCTCTGGTTTTTCTTGACAATTTTAGCGATCATATGAAGTGCTGTTATGCTGTTCACTAAAGACTTCTGATCTTTCCATGACTGATAAAATTCCAACTGATCTTGAACTGTGTGCTTGGACTTAATCTTCTCATTTACCTCTTTTTCTCTTAAATAAAACGATGGTATTCCTGTCAACTGTTGGTGATCCTGTGACAGTAAACAATTCTGTGGCTGCATCCCTTTACTTTGGGTACTCGCAGATTTGAATGATGAATACAATGAAAAATTTGAGCTGTTTTTTGTCACAATGTATTGATGAGGTATAAAAGTCTTGAGTATAACAGAAGGTAATACCCTCCAGATGCATGCAACTTTGTGCAGGGTTGAGGGCACTGCATATCTGCTGTGATGGGCTATCAAGTTCATGTTATTGTCTGTAAACAGAAAATGGGACTATTAGTCAGCCAAAGAACTGAAGTGGTAAACAACAAGTACACTCATTATTATCTTGATCAGGGGTGGGATGTACAATCATTTGGGCCTGCCAGATTCAAGATTACTGCCCTTATTAGCAAGCCCTAAACACAATTTTTATCAATATTCATGATTCATCTAATCCCAGCTTCTGTAGCTTGAAGTTACAAACAAAGGAGTAAGCTACAAACTGTAGATCTGTGCCTCACACAACATTTTCATTACCTGAAAGACCTAAATGCATTCTCTCTTGCCAAAGAAGTGAATCTTAAATAGAAATTCTACTTTCTGTCTTATGAAGTAATACTTCATCATCTATCAAGTCTGCTTTCTTTTTCTCTTGCCCCTCTTTGCGATAATAAACTGCCTCCTTACAAAAGCAATAAAATATCAAGAGGATTACTGGTTGATCATATACCAAATTCTCCAAACTAACATCAGAAGAATTGTATGGCAGATAGTAAGGAGAATTATTATTTCGATAGGGGCTGACTTGATAACCTCAAGATCAAACTAACTGCCTGTACTTAAAGTTAATTTTCTTATTATTTCACTGTAATACCCCTATTTGAAAGCAATAAAAGATTTGTTGTTGATACTGTTGTTGTAGGTATTGGAGACATTCACCCCAATTTTTTTTTTTTTTTCATAATGCAAACAATACACAAATTTTGTCAGAAAAAACTAATAATCCAATTGCTAAGTTTCCCTCCACTAGCTCTGCTTAAAAAATCAGCCCTGCTTAAATTATCAGCCATGCTTAAGTTTTCCTTTGAGGTAGGCAATCTGATAATGACTACAGAAAGAGAATAACAAATCACATTTCACTGTGTTACCATTATGATAGTAAATCACAGCATACCAGCAGAACTCAAGTGCTTTTGTATGCAGAGCCATTCTCAGCATCATGCATCATGTGCATTATGTTCTACTGTTTAGAACTTGCAAGTGATTGGTTTCTACATTGCCACTTAGTTTTACAGCTGTGCAGTTCTGCTGTATATATTTCGCATACACTTGAATGACAGTATTACCTTATGTGGGATTACATTACAAATAAAAGCTACATTGAAAGAAGGGGAAAGGGAATACATCGTTTTTAAAACTAACATCACACAAAATTATTATTTTAAAGTAAAATCAAAAAGAAATATACTATGAGCTAGTCCTTTACAACACAATAATTAAACTTATTGTTTTATCTTGAGTATGCTGAGTGCATACGCACATTTACTAACAGAGGGGGACACGATATAAAGAAAATTTGCACGAGGGCACAACAAACAATTTTACAAAATATATTTTTTTCTCTTGAGCTAGCGCTTCCGAGTTTGTCCAATATAAGTTTGACCAAAAATAAATTCCTCCGTAAATGACAGTATCCGAAGGTTCCTGATGCTTTCTCTCAGGTAATATGTACACTAGGAATTAGGTGGCCCCCCAGTTTTTTTTCAGTTTGTTTGGTTTTTTTTTTTGTTTACTTCAGATGATTTTTGGGAATACACTACGTCTTGCAGAGGACAACTCGTGTTATGTAATATCTAGCTTCAAGACGGTTAACGACGCATATGTTAACGTGACGTAGTTTAAGTTTTCCGTAATGAGTTCAGGATATACCTGATCGATTCGACGCTGATTCTTCAGTTCCTGAAGCACGTCTGTTTTAAGGATGTTGTCGGGGTTACATCGCTGTACTTTCTTGAAAGTAATCGGCCATCTTGTACTCAGGAATCTATTGGGAGCCTGGGGCCGAAGAGATCTCATTCCCAGGACAATCCGCGTGCTATCGCCGAACCGGATGTAGAGGGTGAAAGATAGATAGATTGATTGCAGGAACCATTATCCTGGGCTCCTGGAAATTGTAAGTTTGCGCTTCTAGTGCTATTTCTATAAATTTCAGGGGTCTATTGTTTGACGCGACATGTGATTAGCTTTAGGCGAAGTTGCACTGGTGTAGGCATCGGCGCCATGATTGATTTCCTTCCAAGTTTTGAAGAAAACGATGGATCGTGGATCGACCATCTGAACCACTATCGACCATCGATCGGAAGTTTCGGGCTGGATTACGGATTCTATCCATTCAGAGATTCAGATTTTGGATCAAATCATTAGTTCGGTCAACTTTTGTCGGCTATGGATAGAATTTTTGCTATCACTCGCGCTAAAGCGTGTTTTGTTGTTGTTGTTATTGTTGTCGTTTTATTGTTTGTTTTGCTCATCTTTCTCTTAACGTGCTCGAAGATAAAACTATTAGAGACATGAGAGGCGCAACATGAAACAAAAAACCATCCGCTGAACCCTTAGCTAGTTTAATTGCGTTTTTTCCAGATTCTCCGAATGTTGACATGCGTAGCAATGAAGAATTGGAAGGAGAAAATTGAGCCTTGGATGAGTCTTAATAAAAACTGACAAACAAACGTTTACAACATAAGAACTACCAATTGGTTTTTTATTTTAAATTGGTAACATACGACATGTTGCTATCGTTGAACGACTCCATTTTTTTAAATGTGACTGTATTATTTGAAATCTTTCTAGCTATATATATTCCTTGTTCCAGGCGTTTGTTTGGTTAAACGGAGCGAAATATTTAACGGCGCCATAGTAGCGACGGAGTGAAAAGCGCGGGAGATTTGGGTTACACGACACGACACGACCCGACCCGACCCAAATCTTTCTCGCTTTTTCACTTCGCCGCTGCAATCGCACCGTATACATTTCTCTCAGTTTTATTACGTGGACGCCTAGGCTAAAAAATGTAACGATTGATTTTCCGGCTTCAATTTCTTGGACTTCAGTTTTTCCATCGCAGTTGCTGTAAGGAAATAAAATGATGATGAAGAATTAGTTTAACAAATAAGGCTTATTCTTAACAGGAATTCGATCGATCGACTACGAATATAAAAGGGCATTTATTCATTGACACTGAAGAGGGTTCCAGCTTCAGAAGCGCTTCTGAATGCACTCAAATAGCGATAAATGAAGAGCACAGGCAAAGGAAAACAAGAAGTCGAGGAACAAACAAAACACAATAAAGATGGGGGAGAACATGTGTTTTTTCCTGAAATGTCTTTCTTTTTAAATAAAGACATTTCAAGAATATCATAATAATATCGTTTTAAAATGTGGTTCATAACGTGTAAAAAAAGCGTGAAATTTCTTTATTTATTTGCTTCACGAAAAAAGCCCGCACAAAAACAAAGCGAAAAAAATTACACGCTGAATGAATCAAAGGCAAATATGGACTCACCGAGTTCTTTAGGTATTCTGAGATTATGGCCTGCTCGGGCGCGGTTCCTTTCAGCTGACTTCTGTATTTTTCAAGCTGTTGGCGATCCTTCATCGCAACTAAGGTCTGTAACATATGTATATATGT